TGCAGAGCAGTTCCTGCAGCGCTGGGGTGCTGCAGAGCAGTTCCTGCAGTGCTGAGGTTCCCACTTTGCTCTCAGCACAGCCTCAGCTGTTGGAGGGAGGGAAGGAAGCTCCTGCTCTTCTGCTGCCCCAGACAAAGGAGGAGTTGTGAGAACCAGGGAGGAATTGGCTTTTTACAATCCAGGACTTCTGGAATCCCCTTTTTGTCTGGGAGCACCCCCAGGAAAGGATTTAGGCTGGGCTTTGCCAGGCAAACAGGACTAACACCAGTAACCTTCCCACATGAGTGCATGCACAGAGGGGCCCTGTCCTGCTCTCCTCCCTCTCTGCTGGGCTCCCAGCAGGATGGGAGACGTGCCTGTCTCGTTTCTGCACCTTCTGGTTGTGTTCCTTATCCCTGCTGCTGGTGTTTGCTCCCCCCGTGTGCCCCCCAGCTCCCAGCCTGTTTTTCTCTGTGTTTTTGCCTCTCCCCTGTGTCTCTTCCCAGTCCTGGTTACGTGGTGCTCAGAGATTGCAGAAATCAGCCCTTTCCTCATTCCTCTGCTGCAGAATTCTCCAGGTTTGCTCTCTGAGCACAGGGAGGATGCAGGACCTTTCCTTGCTGCCAGCTGGGCAAGGATTTAACCTCAGTGACCTTTCATTTGCTCTTTTCTCCCCACCTCCAGTTGCACCCACTCCTGGTGCTCGTGGCACCCTCTGAAAAACACAATAAAACCAAGAATTTCTGCGATCCACAGACCAGTGGCAAGGAAGCCCTGAATGGAAACCAAGGGGTTGAGAGGATACCAGGAAACATTTCCTGCTCCCCTGCAGCAGCAGTGTGCTGATGGTTTAGCAGGGAGTGGGTGAAAATTGAACTCAGAGCACTGCCCTCAGCTCCCCTGCCACCAGCAGCTTTGGGAGCCTGGAGAAAAATCCTCATTTCCTTGCTCAGACTCCCCCTGGGTTGATGTGGAGCCCAGGGGAGGGATGGCTGAGCTGGCACTGCAGGGCTGGCCTGTCCTGGAGTCCCAGCACAGCACAGGCTGCTCCTCTCACAGCTGAAAACCTCTCTGGGGCCTTTTCTCCTTGGCTGAGAGTCCTGGGGGGAGTTGGAGCATCAGCCTCAATCCCTCAGCATCGTCACTGGGAGCACAAGGTCCTGCATCCTCCTGCACAGGGAGGATTGGGATCAGGATTTGCTGGTCACACAGAGCAAATCTGGGCTCTGTGGGGCTGCTGGCTCTCACCCAGCCCAGCCCAGCAGCAGCACTGGGGTCCCAGAAGGATTCCCGTGTGGCAGAGGCTGGGGAGGCTCTGAGGAGGGAGGTTCAGGCTGGTTTCTGCCCTGGCATGGAGCACCCCTGGTGCTGTTCTGCTTTGCAGCCCCCGTGCATGTCTGAGCATGAGTCCTGCTCTGAGCTGCTGACCACCTTCTCTCTCCAGCTACTCACATTTTCACTCATTGTAGGGTTGCTGATTCTGCTGGACTAAACTTTTCTCACTAAACTTCTTCCTCTTCTGTTTGACACACTAACCCAGTTTTCACTTTACAGCCCTGTGTCTGGATTGCATCCACCTGCTTGAGATAAATGAAATAAATATGTATTTCTGGAGAGAAAACTATGCCTTACCAGGGCTTGCACTGCTCCACCTGTTGGTTTTCAGTTCTTTTCTTGGAAGAGAAACATTTCTCAAAGCTGAAATGAATTTAAACTATTGGGGGAGGAAGGAGTGGATCAGGAGCTAGAAATTAGATAATTCAAAGTGAAGAAAAGGAAGAAAAGTTTCAGCAGAGCAGGTAATTAATCATGGGAATGGCTGTGTGTAAAATGCAGCAGCATCTCTGACATTTGAAATCAAGAATAAGCATCTTTTCAAAGGATGTTCCTGTTAGTCTCAGTGCTCAGTCACTGGTTAGCAGGCTGTGCCAGATGAAAGGTCAGATTCTGTAAGTGCAGTGTTCCCTCAGCACCTGAGGGTCTCTGTTCTCATCACTGGTTATCTCTGAGCCTGGGGCAGCGGGGAAGGACCGAGGGGATGCTGCTCTTGTTGTGCCACAAACCCGAGAATTCAGCCCAGCTGAGCCAGGGCTGCCCCTGCTGCTCCCGGGGCTGCCTGGGGCTCAGGGGACAGCACCAGGATTTCCTGATGAGCCAGGACAATTCTGCTCCTGCCAGGCAGCCCCATGGCCAAAAGCAGGGGCTTGGTGGTGGTGTTTGTCTTTTGGGATTGAGGAAAAAAATACCATTAACTGCTCTGTTCAACGTGCCCAGGTGAGGATGGAGTTTCCCTGTTTATCTGTGCCTTAAACCACACTTGTGTCACCTTTTCATGTTCAGCGTGCACTGAGAAAGCTGTCCCAGGGTGGAATGCACATCTGGAACATCCAGGGGGTGTGGGAGCCTTGCAGTGGGGAAAAAAAAAAGCAGAGGAAAGGATTTGAAAAAGCAAAACATAATGTGGAAAAAAGGAGTGTTGCCTCTTTACATCCGTCAGAGGAGTTGCTGTGTGGTTAAACACAAATGTGTGTGTCCCACACTGCTGGAGTGTGATTGCTTCCCTTCTTGGAACAGTGCAACAGCATGGAATTCACCTTAAATCACAGTTCCAGCCCAGGTCTTGCAGTTTTCCACTGGTGTTTCACCAAAAATTTCGTTTGAAAGGGAGGAGGGAGGGGAAAGGGCTTCAGATTCCTTCTGAAAATAAATTTTTGAAGGAGACTGGGAGATGAACCTTCCTGTGGCCACTCAGGAGTGCCAGTGCTGTCCATGAGGAGCTGGACACAAATCCAGGGGTGCAGATCTGCAGTCAGACCTTCTGAATTTGGCTTTTTGAGCAGAGGTGCAGGGTGGGACTGGGATCCTGCCGTGGCGTGGAGGAGTTGAGGAGTTGGGTGGGAAAAGCAGTTTGGGAGCTGGAAATCAG